CCTAAAAAAAAATGAATTAATAATATAATATATATAATAATATTTCCTAAAAAAATGAATTAATCCTTATCCGTCTCTCGCGTTAATCTGACGCATCTTTCGCTGCTTCCAAAAAAGCGGCACGCGCTGCATTTACTGTTTATTGACGTCGCCGGTAATCTTATTCTAATCTCGTCCCGCCTTATCGCGGCTCTATAGATGATTAAAGAAAGACTTTACAAATTTAATTACTTGCCTTTTCATTGTGTACCGATCTTTCGACGTTGCTTTTTCAATTCGGCATTAAGAGAGACTGATCGAGTCGGAAAAATAAAGGATGAACGAGAATTAAATGCCAAGATTAGATTCGATATCGTCAGATTCGATCGATTTTACAAGGAAGGGGCGCACAAGGAGTTCTGATACAATAGCGTTCGTTTCTCCTCTCTAATTCTGCACGATTCGAAACCCGATTCGCTTTGAACATCGTTAAATTCGTCGACGGAAAATCAACGGAAACTTCGTTGTAAAGTCTAATCTAGGCTGTTTCCTGCAAGTGTAACCGGTTGAAGTGGTTAATCATCCGTTAAATTATTTACTGATTAACGGTATCTCTATCCGACGATCTGCCAGATCTGTCGTGAAGATAGCGAAGCCGGTGAAAATCTATTGTTTCCTCTATCCTCGTTCATTGTTTGCCGGCTGTCGGATATACAAGTGGTATGCGACGTGGTAATCGTCGTTCCAAGTATTCACGTGTGCGCGAACCGAGGAAATATCTTCTCGCAATTGTAACCCCGTTCATTATCTGACAGTCGATTAACGACGTCTTTCCTCCCTAAGTCTACGCACGCAAATTTATGCTATTTTATTTATCTCGTGTTGCGCGCCGCACGTGTGGACAACCTTTCCACATTCCTCGTGCCGATAACCGTCGACATTGAAGATCCTCGAACGCTATACGATGAAGCGAACAATTATAACAGAATTGTTTGCGGTATGATACACGTGTAAAAGTATTTAAAATACGCAAAGTAACGTAACGCGTTATGTAATAAAAGACAAATTGATTAGCCGCGAATATTAGAAATTGCTCCGGGTTTTTCTGTTCAACTGCAATTTTTTAACAATGGACCAATGCGGTATACTGGGCTAAAATATTACTTTTTTAGATCTTCGTCGTTGTTTTCTCTCTTCTTCTCTATTTCTTTTTGTTCAAGTCAAAACACTTAAAATTGTATCAGCTAGAAATCTTTGTTAGATTAAAATCCTTATTGTGTGTGT